GGCCTCACCCCCATTTCCCTGACGTCCTCTCCCTGCACCAAGACCGGCCTCCCCCCCATTTCCCTGACGTCCTCTCCCTGCACCAAGACCGGCCTTCCCCCCATTTCCCTGACGTCCTCTCGCTTCACCCCCATTTCCCTGACGTCCTCTCCCTGCACCAAGACCAGCCTCCCCCTCATTTCCCTGACATCCTATCACAGTGCCAAGACCGGCCTCACCCCCATTTCCCTGACGTCCTATCACAGTGCCAAGACCGGCCTCACCCCCATTTCCCTGACGTCCTATCACAGTGCCAAGACCGGCCTCACCCCCATTTCCCTGACGTCCTCTCTCTGCACCAAGACGGGCCTCACCCCCATTTCCCTGACACCCTATCACAGCACCAAGACCAGCCTCACCACCGTTTCCCTGAAGTCCCTCTCTCAGGAGCTCCCATCTTAGGTGACAAAAGGACAAGGCCCAGACAAAAAAGAAAGAGGCTTTTTATTACACTGTTACAGGCAATGCGTTATGTGAGCCGATCCTGTGTACAACCCCCAAGCCGCGGCGACACCCCAGGAGAGCGCATCTATCTAACCTTGTACACAGCGCAGAACAGGATCACCCCGAATGTCAACAGAAGACCGAAATCACTTTACAAAAAAAATAAAAATAACACCCATTTTTATATTTAAAAAAGTGCCAGCCCTTGAGCCGCAGAGCATTAGAAACGCCCAAGGACGTGCCGCCGGAACGCGGACGGGGCCGCCAGCCGCGTGTGGCCAGCCCGTCCTGGCCTTTAAAGCTGAACTGGAGCACTTCAGATGCTCATCTCTGGAGTTCTTCTGTCTTAGGACTTTCCCTCTCTACTGTTGAAACTGTGTGAGCATGTCAGCCTAACGATGAGTGACCTTCATGCGTCCCAACTGTGACGGCCAGAGGCTTTCCCTTTGTAAGGCTTAAATCTGAGTGCAGTAAAGAATGAAGAAACCAAACACCAGAATCTTAAAGTCAAATGATAGTTGAGCCAGTGCCAATTTAGAGCAGCACTCCCACCCTCCCTCGGAGAGAGCAGCGCTCCCACCCTTCCTTAGAGTTCTACTTTGGTAAATATTAATGTTTAACCAGTTAGCAAAATATTTAACCCAGTTAGCAAAATTAACACCGTCATTTCAATAGTTACTCTGTTGTGCATAGTAAATGCTGCAAGATGAACTTCACATTGAATGAAGCAGATTTGAGAAACGTTGCCAGAAAGTGTGCCTCCCTCGACGGGACCCTGTGCCAGGGAAAGGACTGAGGCCCGCAGCCGCTGTGCCTGCGCCAGGCTAGATGGTCTGGTAGCCGGCGTGACTCCTCTTCCTGCCAACGAGGTAGGCGATGAGGACGATGAGGACCAGCCCCGCCAAGGCGCCGCCCACAGCGATGGGGATCAGCATGTTGTTCTCGTCCAGCAGACACTCCTCCACTGCCAAGACACATGGACAGTGTCAGGTTCCACTCACACAGGGGCCTGCAAACAGGCCTCTTTCCCCACCACTCCCCCACATCAGCCACAAGGCAAGAGGCACTATGGCAGACGGCTCCAGGTCCAGCTGTCGCTTGGGGAAGCCGCTGCACAGACTGGCGCCCTGCACAGCTGGGAAACCACACACGTTTTTCCCCCGGCTGGAATCAGGGGCTGTGGCTGGGCAGTTGTGCCACGTCCAGGGCCTCTGGGCTTCCTGGAACACAGAGTGCATCGGATGACGGTTTTGTATTCAACTTTCACGGGAGAAACGCCACCACTGTTCTTAAATGACACCCTTACTCTCAAATGGTACCAGGGTTCCTAGCTAAGAGATACAGTGGGCCTCTCTAAAGCAGGGGGAGTTTCCTCTAGAATCTCAGACCAGGAAAAAGAAACGGCTTGCCGAGGAACAGGGGTGTTGCCCCAGCCCACACAGAAGCGATTAAATATCCACAGGTGGAGTCTGAAGCGCGTCCTCTCCACCCCGAGACAGCTGCCCTCGGCAACACTCACCTGAGCCAAACTGGCCACCTTCCACCTTGAAAGCCTGGACCCAGACTTTGAATATGTTGACGGAAAACGCCTTCGTGACACGGACGTGCTCCTCGGCGTTGCACTTGTAGGAATTGCCGACTGTGGCCTGCAGTGCTCTCAGGGAGTTGTTGGCAGCTTTAAAGGTGGGGTCTGCAACACACACAGAAGTCAAGTGACTCCAGGACACTCTGGGTGGGGGGTGGGGCGCCAGAGATTGTGGGTTCTCACCTCTGGCATCAGGAAGAGTTGTATTCAACTGGATTCCTTGTAGGAAAAACCGGCTAGAACTTGCATTCTTAAAAAGAAAGATGATCTTTAACCACTGAGTAGATTCGAACATTTATCATCAAACTTGAAAGGTCATTTGGTAAAAAATCTGACTTCCCATGTTTCTAGTGTTACAACAAAATCACAGAATATCCTGTCTATAAAAGGCACTGTGTATCTCCGGGGAATGAAAATTGTTTAGTTAGTTCCTTCCAGACCCTTTTCTGAGTCTTGCTCTGTCGCCCAGGCTGGAGTGCAATGGTGTGATCACGGCTCACTGCAGCCTGAACTCCTGGGCTCAAGCGATCCTCCTGCTGCAGCCTCCCCAGTAGCTGGACCACAGGTGGGCAGCGCCGTGCCCCGCGAGCTCATTTTATTACTTGTGGAGACAGAGCCTCCCTGTGCTGCCAGGCTGGTCCTTCCAGACCTCTTCATCGAGTCAGAGTCTCTGGGAAGTGGGGCCTGCAGGAGCTCTCACGGCACAGGAAGGCATGATTTGGAAAGTTCAAGTGGTAAGAAACTGAACTGCTAATTCATCTGCACAGCAACTTAAAAACGTTGACAAGTGACATTTACATTCTTCCTATCTGTGTTGCTCACTGCACAGGAGTGCTCCAGGCAGAAATGCCACCCCGTAGCCGCAGGGCAGCAGCGTCTGAGGCCAGAAGGCCTCGTGGCCTCACAGCAGCAGCCTTACCCCTGTGGCCACCATACTGTGGGCGCGGCAGCCCGCCCAGATCGACTGCTGAGTAAGCAGGATTTAAAAAAAGGCAGAAAAAAGTGAGGCTGCCTCGTTCCTAACTCTGCTTCCCATGAGCAGACCCAGGGCAGAAGGGGATGCCCAGCCTCACCATCCCGAACTGGAACAGCAGGACCGTGGCACCCTCGCTGCGCAGCTCCAGGGTCACCAGCTGGGCGCCGCAGCTCCCGCTGGCTGAAGTCTTGTTGGGGTTGATGTTGAGAAGCTTTGTCACCGTCTGTGTAAGACAAGCAAGCAAGTCATCACCCCAGCTTGGGTCCTCCACACTCTCAAAAAAAGAAAAACAGTCCTGAAAACATGAATTCAAGGCCGCATTTGTTTTAAACAAAATCAGGAGACACTGCAAGTCCACACTGGCGCAGATTTCGGGATCCCAAGATGCCTCCTGGCCACTGTGACGGGTGCTCTCAGAGTGTGGCGTCCCTGCGTGGACGGCACCAACCAGCACCATCTCCCCCTGCAGCCGTCAACCCTGCAAACTTGCCCCCACAAACCCACAGCCTGTCAGTATTAGGGGAGAAAAACTATTTCAAAAGAAAAGTATAAACATGTAACACTTAAATGTTTCAATGATAAACATGTAAAGAAACCTTATGTTCTATCAAGGGGCCATGTGAACGTTTCAGGCTCCGTGGGCCACACTGCTCTGCAGGCCTGCTGGGACAGCAGCCTTGGACAATAGAACCAGCAGGACAGCTGTGCACCTACAAGACGGACTCACTGACACAGACACCCCAGCTCTTGTCCTACAGGGTCCCGTCCTGCAGGCTGAGCTCCCATCCCGACTTAAAGCGTGACTTGCAGAGATGTGCACTCTCAGTTCACAGGGAGCAGAGGCCCCGGCCCTACAGAGGCCTGCTGTTCCCCGCTCAGGTAAGGCCCACCATACAGCGCTGTCCCCCTCTCCCAGGTTCCCTCTCTCCCAGGTGAGGCCTCGACCCTACCGTGTTGTCCTTCCTCTCGTAGGTGAGGTTCAGCTGCAGCCCCATGCTGGCCAGCAGGCAGGTCCCGTTGGTGCCACTCACATTGTACTTGTCCACAGAGGGGCTCTCGGGCACGGGTGAGGGTGAGGGGCTGGGTGGTGCGGGCGGCGCTGTGGTCGGGGAAGGCCCGTCTTGGTCACAGCGCGTCTCTGCAGGTATAGTGGAGGGAATCCAGGTCTGGGTTTCTCATCATCATCAGCAGTTACAGTAAGATCCAAACTCAGAAACGAAACTCCCAAGGTGGCTCTCACTAATGCCTTTCTAGATGTGCAGGACAGAGCTGAGTCCTGCAGACAGCAGACGGCTCAGGGCGGCAGGTTCAGAGCGGCAGGCATAGGCTCGCAGGGCACCCTCAGCCTCCAGCTCCCACTATCCAGAATGCCCCGTGGCTGGACAGTGTCCACTGTGCCACCCTTCCTAAAGTGAGGGTGAGAGGGCCTTGAATGCTGTCACAAAGGAGTGAACGTAGGAGGCTGTGCTATGTGGCTGGCCACCCCACAAATGGTGATAACTCAGTCACTGCTCCCTGAGCTGTCAAACGGGTGCCAGGGCTGTGCTGGAAACACTACCCAAAAGAAAACACAGGGTCCACGGCACACATAGCCCGGCCAGGGGGGACGCAGAGCAGCCAAGGAGGCCCTCTGGCAGGACAGGAGTCAGACAGCTCTGTGAGGACCCCACGTGCGAGCAGAGACGCAAAAGTTGGCAAGGCTAGCCAGCTCTCTTGGGTTTTCATTTGGGGAGGAGGCAGTGGGGGGGATGGACAAGCATCCTCACTAGGGAGAAGGCAGCAAGTGTGGGTGCATCTGAAACCCTGGACAGGAGGATGCAGTCCAGGGATTCTGTGGAGGGGGCCACGTGGCACCCCAAGAACACAGTGCGGACACTGAGCGGTCCCAGGGAGTCTGTGGAGAGGGGCCACTGAGCGGTCTAGGGAGTCTGTGGAGAGGGGCCACTGAGTGATCCAGGGAGTCTGTGGAGAGGGGCCACTGAGCGGTCCAGGGAGTCTGTGGAGAGGGGCCACGTGGCACCCTGAGGACACTGAGCAGTCTGAATGTGACTCTGTCCCTCGGCCTCTGACCCACCAAGATGTTCACAACACACATTTATATTAAAAATCAAGGCAGGCTGAACTCGAGGTAGAGCTCTGCCGACTCTTCTGTGGCTGACACTCTCACACACCATCAATCTTGAAATTAGGTTCTTTTACCATCTTGTTTCTGTGGGTACTCAAAAATAGGATTTATATAATTTCTACCCAATTCGATCTTTTCCACATCTCCACTAGGCTGAGTCAGCACAAGTGAGCCCCAAATATCCAGGGCGGGCAACCCTGCAGGGAATCTGCTGTCTGTAACTCCACAGGCCACTTGTCGGTTCCGCTTCCATCTCAACTTTCAGTGGCCAATTCCCACCTTCACATCCCCTCTGTCTGGGGGAGGAGAGAGCCAGGAACCTTCGACTACAACTGCACCTCAAGTGGTTCTGAGACACACAACTCAGGAGTCCCCCTGCACCCCAGTGTAAAGCCCTTTCTGGACAGAGCAGAAGATGGCAGAGAAGAGCTACGGTAACCACACCAAGCTCTGAAGTGACAAGCGCCACAGCCACTGGGAGCCATCCCAACCCAGGAGGTGCACACAGACCTCGCTCACTGCCCTTGGCTAAGCTGCAGGTTGACCACTCCTTTCCAAAACAGCCTCAGCTGCCAGGCGCAGTGGCTCATGCCTACAATCCCAGCGCTTTCAGAGGCCAAGGATGAAACTCCTGGCTTGAGGCCAGGAGTTCAAGGCCAGACCCCATCTCCACAAATTTTTTTGTTTTTAAATTAGCCAGGGCCAGGCGTAATGGCTCACGCCTGTAATCTCAGTACTTTGAGAGGTTGAGACAGGTGGATCATGAGGTCAGAAGTTCAAGACCAGCCTGGCCAAGATGATGAAACTCCATCTCTACTAAAAATACAAAAATTAGCCAGGCACAGTGGCAGGTGCCTGTAATCCCAGCTACTCAGGAGGCTGAGGCAGGAGAATCACTTGAACCCGGTGTGGGTGGGGTGGAGGTTGCTGTGAGCCAAGATCACACTATTGCACTCCAGCCTAGGCAACAGAGTGAAACTGTTTCAAATAAAAATAAAAAATTAGCCAGGCATGGTGGCATGTGCCTTTAGTCCCAGCTATTCAGGCTAACTTGGGAGGGTCACTTGGGCCTCGGATGCTGAGGCTGCAGCGAGCTTGACTGTTACCACTGCACTACAGCCTGGGAGACAGAGCAAAGACCCTGCCTCAAAAACAAAAAAAGCAGCTTCACTGCTCCTTTATAAAATGTTACAGAACACAGCTAAACAGGCAACAGTTAAATGTGCAAAACCCAATCAAAACCGGCCAGTCTCCAAACTCCAGTCTAGATGGCCACACAACACAGGAAAAAAAGTGTAACCTCTGCTGCAATGACAATGTTTAACCTGTGATCCACATTCATTTACCACCTTGTTTCTGTAAAGTGGTCACAAGAAGTTAGGTTGGAAACACGAACAAAACATCACGTCTAACCACCAGTTTAAAAAGTCAGAACTTGAGAAATAAGTGTGGAAAATGTCCTCTTCCTTCCACCAGAATTACAAATGCAAACCCACATTCTCCTTCCTTGATCGCATACAAAACACCAAAGTCCTTCCTGCCGAGGACACGGACACGGACAGGGAGAGAGATCATCACAGAACACGCTGGAGAGCGTCCTGCACTGCCCAGGGGGAGATGGTGGTGCAGGAGCCGGGAGCCCTGAGAACCAGGGGGCCACAGGCACATCGCCCCCAGCCCCCTCAGGAGAGCAGCGTGCAGCCGGGTCCTCTCAGACTATGCTGTCTTTCCAAAGCCCATTTGCTCTGAAGGCCTCTCCTCATCTCCTGGCAGCAGCAGACACTCCCACCAACCTGCATGCTGCAATTCAGAGCCTCAAGGGTGTCTGTGAGATTAGAATGATTCTCACCCACAGCCTCTGTTACAGTCTTCAGTTATAATGCTGGGTGTGTCAGGCCTGACTGCTTCCGGCCCCTTTCACCTGTCCTAAGGCAGGACTCTCATCTGACTTTCTGATAAGTTTTTTTTTTTTTTTTTTTTTTTGAGATGGAGTCTCCCTCTGCCACCCAGGCTGGAGTGCAGGGGCGCCATCTCGGCTCACTGCAACCTCCACCTCCCAGGTTCAAGTGATACTCCTGCCTCAGCCTCCCGAGTAGCTGGGGCTACAGGTACGCACCACCACGCCTGGCTAACTTTTGCATTCTTAGTAGACACGGGGTTTCACCATGTTGGCCAGGTTGGTCTCCAACTCCTAGGCTCAAGTGATCCACCCACCTCAGCCTCCCAAAGTGCTGGGATTACAGATTTGAGTACTGGCCAGGCCTGACTGTAGGTCTTAAGACCCGCCCAGATAGGGTCCTGCCCTACCCGCTAGAAGAGGAAACGCTGAGGTCATAAAGCTTCCACAGAAGCCCAAGAGGACTGGGTTTGGGAAGATCAAAATCGGCTTGCCCCAGGGAGGTTCCTGGAGGGTGGCGCCCTGGAAAGGGAGGGCATGGGAGCATGCCCCTCCCCATACCTTGGCCCCCGTGTCTCTTCCTCTGTGTCCTTTCCACTATCATTTATAATAAACCCACAAATGTTTCCCTGAGTTCTGTGAGCCACTCCAGCAAATTCATCAAACCCAAGAGGGGTCATGAGGGTCCCATCTTGAAGCTGGTTGGTCAGAAGTTCCGGAGGCCCAGATTTCCAACTGGACTGGGGGGAGGGCACTCTTGGGGATGGAGGCTTCACACTGTGGGACCTGGTCTTTCTCTAGGAAGATGGAGTCAGAACTGAATCAGAGGACACCCAGCTGGTGTCCACTGCCTGGTGTGTGGGGAAAAGCTTGGCCGTATGTGGTCACAGAGGCCTTCTGTGTTGATGGTGGCTGCTGGAGTGAGAGCAGAGGAAAGAGGCGGTTAGAGAGATTTCCCTATACAAAAGGGTAAGATGTTTTACCATCGCTTCCCTCCATTTAAGCTGGGATTACAGGCATGAGCCACCCTCCAGCCACATCAGCCCTACTTTTAAGATCCTTGGGAGAGAAGGTACAAAACCAAAAGGAAAGTCCATTCAAAGTTGGCTTGTGCTTTATTTCCTTTAAAAATAAAATCTGTGAAGTCCCCAAGCTTTCTTAGATAAGACGACGTGATGTGCTGAAAGGCAAGATGAATGAGAGCCTCCTGGTCACGGAAAGTAAGTATTTCAGACTTTGTGGGCTGCGGCTCTCTGTGAAGACAACACAGCCCTGCCACTGTTCGTGCACAAGCAGCCACAGACAGTGTCAATAAATGACTGTGGCTGGGTTGCAAGAAAACTTACAGACACTGAATTTTACATCATTTTCATGTGTCATGAAATACTCTTTTTCTGATTTCTGGTATGTTAAGTTTATAAACATAAAACCCATTCTTAGCTCATGGGCTCTATGGAAACCAGAGGTGGGCAGGACCAACCCAGCACAGTGCGGGGCCGACCTGCAGGAGTCCTGGCTCCTCCAGGAGGGGTAGGACGTGATGACCCCCCTGACCCCCACCCCTGCCCGGAGCCCAGCAGTCACTCCTCAGCCTTAAGCAAGAATGCTGAGGAATGCTGCACACCAAAGGTCTCCACAGCAGCTCTCAAGATTAGAGAAGGCTGTCATGTCTCCATACATACTTCTACCAGCCAGGAGCCACCCTAAGGCAAAGCACAGGCCCTCAGGCTTCAGCAAAATGACAATGACCTATGACCTATGACCTGCCTGGACTGCAAGGCTAGAGAGAGAAGCTCAACAGTAACAGGATTTACCAGGTGTTTGCCACTTACTCTGTGCCAGATGCTGAGATACACACTCTGCATACATTTCTCTTTTAATTCTAACAAGCTTCTAAGAAAGGCTTTTAATCTTATCCCACATGCAAAGACACTGAGAGGTTAACTACCCTGCCCAAGATCTTGAGGCTAGGTGACCTGGACCCTGCCTGACCCCAGAGCCTGGCGGCTGGATTGGCAGGTGCATCACTGCAGCCCTGACCTCCTCAGAGAGCCAATGCTGGTCTTTCCACACCTGTCCCTAAGCTGGCCGGACAGAGCTGGATGGAGATTAAGACCAGGTCTCTGGCTCAAACTGAGAGATGTGTGACCCTGATCCCATCATCTCTGGCCCAGTGAAGGCACAAAGGATTCAACTGCTTTGCCCTTCTGACATTTTCAAGTCATAATTGTATTTACCATGTGTGTCATGTTTTGAAATACATCTACCTGTGTGACAGCTAATCAAATACTTATCTTTTTATGGTGAGAATAATTAAGACCTACTTAGCAATATTCAAGCCACAATATATTATTACCTGCAGTCACATGCTATACAAGAGATCTCTCCAACTTATTCCTCCTGTCTTCCTGAAACTTTTTTTTTTTTTTTT